ACATATTGTTATACAGTCCACCTTCGCAATGTCCTCAACGTCTGTAGAACGCAGATAAAACATCCTGAAAAAGCTTCTGAATTCTATCGCCTTAAAGATAGTCTACTAAAACCACCGTAAACACAAAGGGCACCGCTGATTTATTCCATGCGGTCGTTCAACGCCTGATTTCTGCAAAATTAAAAATGCAAACAAAATTGATCTCACGATAGCTCCTGGTTTCCGTCCTGGTAACGACGTAAAAATAGCAATGAAACGAAGAAAACCGTATCCCTTGTTAACAAGTAAACCATATCCAGGGATGTTTTGGGAGGATCACCGTAAGGGGGGCTTTTGTCAATAATGTGCTCATTTTAGCAAGGTCTTGACTACGTCCCTGCGTACACACAAAAGCAGATTAAGTTGTCTGTGTTGAATGATGGGCAATTGGATGTCTGTTGGGCCAATTCATACCTGGGCAGGCAGCTGGGCAGCTTCCCGGGAGCTTTTTTCTGGGCTGGTGTGGTGTGAGGGAATATCATTCGGAAAAAAATGACTGTTATAGGTGTCCAACATATATTTTGCGTCCTAATCAGTAGCAAGCTGATCCAGAAATATGAAAAAGCAGCCACACGATCAGCTCGCAATAAGTCATGCGGGAGGCACCCGGGCCGGGGCAGTGGTCGCCGACGACAGACGGGAGCGGGGCCTAGATAGGGAACATATGACACACAGGCCTTCATTTTGTGGCTTAGTTTTTAAAGGAGAATCTCCAGCTTTATGGCTTTTGTCACATCGTTTTTGGAAGTTTCAAGCTTCCGAGTTTCTTTCCGCCTAAAATGGTGCGACAAGCCTTATCTCTTGAAAAGAAGCTAGCAAAATGAAGGCGCATGCAAAATCTGTCATATTGTGAGCCATCGATCCACTTTCAAAATTCTCACCAGGCTATGTTCAGGGCGTATTTTAGCGTTTGCCCTATTGAGACAGATACCTCCCCAATAATCCAGAACGCCTACCGTTCGTGGAATTTTATCTCCCCAGGGAAGGCAATGTTCAAATGGGCGAATAATGTTGGGAAGTCGGATAGCCTAATTTTCAAAATGACATGGATGAGTCGAATAGGCAGGATTGTGCATCAGAGAGAAACAGCTCTAGATTCATATCTGGCATAGCAGCTATAACATTTAACCTCCATCTCTACTCCCCTCCCCCCTGATCATCAGGCTTGTTTTCCAGAAAACCCTTAGCTTGCCCCCCCCCCCCCACCTTTTGAAACGTTCCTACGCCTGTGAGTTACTTTCACGGTACGTTGGCCTGATCAGAGACCGTGCTCAGCCGCTGCTGGCGAAAAAGGCGGCTTCGCGGCAGCGTGTCTCTGTCAGGACTGTGTTGTAATTAAGTCATGGGTTGACGCGTTGGATGCGGCACTTGAGTGACGTCGACGGACGCCTAACGGTGAAGAAACCTCCAGTGACAGCTTTCCATTGAGTTCATTAAGGTAAGAAATTAGTATACAAACTGGTACATGGTTTATTAAGCTTTTCGGTCAGACTAAAAAAGCCCGCACCTTATGCTAACAGCTTTTGTGACAATTTGTCTTCATGTGCAATAAAGTCGTACGGCAAGAACTAAAAACTGTCTTAGTTAATGTTCGCCTCAAATTGTTCGTGATGTTTTTAGTTTTTCATAGGGAAATTCAAACTCTAGTCGGACGGGTTCACCTGGAGCCGAACTCAGTCCCTCTATGTCTCGTTTAGTGCCATCACAGAGCGGAATATTTGCCTTGCTATTATTCACAACGATGTATAACGCACGGCTCCTGAACCCATCAGGCTGTGGCGTACCCAAGCGTGTTGCACACGTCACCCCCGGTCAGTCAGTGGGGCCGACACGACTTCCTAGGGTGTCATCAACGCCCCGGCCCTCGAGCGCTGCGCCCTGACCCGCGAACGCGGAGCCTCGGCCCCCGGGCGCGACGTCCCGGCCCCGAGCGCTGCGCCCTGACCCGCGAGCGTGGCGCCTCGGCACCCAAGCGCGGCGTCCCGGTCCCCGAGCGCGGCGTCCCGGTCCCCGAGCGCGACGTCCCGGTCCCCGAGCGCGGCGCCTCGGCCCCGGAGCGCGGTGCCCCGGCCCCCGAGTGCGGCCCTGCCTGTCGGCCGCGCCGCCTGTGTAGCTGAGGGCGGCGCGTGTGAGCCGTGCCGGCCGGACTGCATCTCCTGTGAGGACACCAGCAACCGGTGTCTCAGCTGCGAGCCCCACATCAGTCCGCACGACCGCCAGTGCTGGCTGCCCTGCCCTGAGGGTACCTTTGAAGCTAGCCAAAGGTCATGCGCACTGCTGTCGTGCTCATTGTGGTTTTTAACCCGCGTCAGCAGGGGGCAGATCGGCGCCCTCCGAGCATACACGTCAGCCGTTCTAAAGGGCCTCTCTCCCCTTTTTGAGATTTGCTGTAATCTCTGTCTGGTATCTGTAGTCCTCTGTAATCTGCTCCTGCAACAGCCACCGTACAAATGCTCACACTGGATATGTTCCGTTCCGGTGCAGCTTTGCTGTGCTGGACCTTTGCCGCACTTTGTAAAGCTTTTGCCGTTCCGGCGATCATCGCTGACGGCCGCGCTGACGGTCCGGTTCACGGCGATCATCGCTGACGGCCGCGCTGACGGTCCGGTTCACGCCGATCATCGCTGACGGCCGCGCTGACGGTCCGGTTCACGGCGATCATCACTGACGGCCGCGCTGACGGTCCGGTTCACGGCGATCATCGCTGGCGGCCGCGCTGACGGTCCGATTCACGGCGATCATCGCTGGCGGCCGCGCTGACGGTGCGGTTCACGGCGATGATCGCTGACGGCCGCGCTGACGGTCCGGTTCACGGCGATCATCACTGACGGCCGCGCTGACGGACCGGTTCACGGCGATCATCGCTGACGGCCGCGCTGACGGTCCGATTCACGGCGATCATCACTGACGGCCGCGCTGACGGTCCGATTCACGGCGATCATCGCTGGCGGCCGCGCTGACGGTCCGGTTCACGCCGATCATCGCTGACGGCCGCGCTGACGGTGCGGCTCACGCCGATCATCGCTGACGGCCGCGCTGACGGTGCGGTTCACGGCGATCATCGCTGACGGCCGCGCTGACGGTCCGGTTCACGCCGATCATCGCTGACAGCCGCGCTGACGGTCCGGTTCACGCCGATCATCGCTGACGGCCGCGCTGACGGTGCGGCTCACGCCGATCATCACTGACGGCCGCGCTGACGGTCCGGTTCACGGCGATCATCGCTGACGGCCGCGCTGACGGTCCGGTTCACGCCGATCATCACTGACGGCCGCGCTGACGGTGCGGCTCACTGCGATCATCGCTGACGGCCGCGCTGACGGTCCGGTTCACGGCGATCATCGCTGACGGCCGCGCTGACGGTCCGGTTCACGCCGATCATCACTGACGGCCGCGCTGACGGTGCGGCTCACTGCGATCATCGCTGACGGCCGCGCTGACGGTCCGGTTCACGGCGATCATCGCTGGCGGCCGCGCTGACGGTCCGGTTCACGGCGATCATCGCTGGCGGCCGCGCTGACGGTCCGGTTCACGGCGATCATCGCTGGCGGCCGCGCTGACGGTCCGGTTCACGCCGATCATCACTGACGGCCGCGCTGACGGTGCGGCTCACTGCGATCATCGCTGACGGCCGCACTGACGGTCCGGTTCACGCCGATCATCACTGACGGCCGCGCTGACGGTCCGGTTCACGGCGATGCGAACCGGACCGTCAGCGCGGCCGTGTGAAGATGTGACTGTGCGTGTCTTGCTTACCCTCCCGGACGCGGTTGTTTGTGGACGCCGACGACGCCGGGATTTACCATCGTCGCCCCCTGGCCAAGCCGACTCGACGTTTATCAGCGGTAGCGACGTCACCTGAGACCACGACGTCAGCGCCCTTATTTGACGGCACAAAAGCCGTTTGAAATCCGCTCTACCAGGAAGGAGACTAGATGTGACATCGATCCCACGTCCGTGCCAAATGTCGTTACAGGCCTGTGGGGCTGGTGATTGATCTGCACCAAAGTGGTCTGAATGTTTGCCAGATATATCTGATCTATATCAGGTACCTGGCGGATGTATTTCTCTTCTGTAGCAACTGCTATGGATGTATCGGTGAGACCCCCTGACCATTTTTCTCTTTGTCAGTAATCATGGTGAGTAGCTTTCTGGACGCCACATTCCTAAAGTGACCAAGGAACGGTGCTCTAGTGTGTAAACACTTATCGATGGCAGCCTAACTTTTCAACATTTCGATACACTCTCATTAGCGCAACACTCAAGTTTTACTTGTTGACTTCGTATGAGTAAAGAGCTGACTTCCTCAATAGTATGAAGACTTAAACTTTGACGAACTATCAAGCACATTTCTACCAGAAGCTGATATTCGGTGGACCTCAGTTTTTCAAGGCCAGGCGTGCTCGCACCCTTCTCGTTTTACGTCACGAGGCTCGCTCAATGCTTCCGCCGCTGCAAGGGCAGCACCATCAGAACTATAGACGGCGTCACTGAAAACGTGTCTAGCTCCGGCATCGCTAGGTGACGCCGTATTTTGTACAGTGCACAATTTCAGAACGATTATCTTAATCATGCCAATTTCGCCAGCTGTACCTGCAGTTATTTGTCACCGTCTAATTTACTTCTTTACGCAGTCAGAAATACTTGCGTAATTTCAATCCCTTCATTTATTGAATTGTTTCCTGATGTCTTGCATGTCTTCTCACAACGGCAGCACGCCAGCTCCGCCCTTTTCCGCTGGCTCTCCCACCTCAGCGCGCCTGCACGACAGTCAAGCGACTCGCCGCGCCGCCGTGAAAGCGAATATATCCCTGTTTAAAGTGCTTTGTCGAGTGTCAGTGCCCCACGCACTACAATGGGGAACCTGACGTGATGGAGCGGGCGGGCCGTTTACGTGACCTCGGCCCGCCCGCCGTCGTACTCCTCGTCGAGCTTGCCCTCCTCGTAGGCGAAGGCCCCTGCTACTGCTGGTATTCGGACACCAGACCGTTCATGTTGCTCCCCGCCTCGGTAAACTCCACCTTACCCATACTCTCGTCGGTACACCAGTGGAGGAAAGCCTTGCGTCGGAACATGACCGTGAACTGCCTCGAGATCCGCTTGAACAGCTCCTGGATGGCGGTGCCGTTACCGATAAGGGTGGCTGACATCTTAAGACTGCGGGATGGGATGTCACACATGGCAGTCTTGACGTTGTTCGGGATCCATTCCACGAAGTAGCTGCTGTCCTTGTTCTGAGCAATGGGCATCTCTTCATCGACGTCATCCATGGACATTCATGGATGGACGATGGACTTCATGGATTCGTGGACCTTCATGGATACCTCGCGTCCGAGGAATCCGAGGCGCTCGAGGACGCACTTCGGTTTGTTGACCACCATGCCATAATCCCGCAGACGTTGCAGAACCTGGCGCAGGTGGGTGACGGTGTCTTCAAGGGTCACGTCGGTGATGAATATGCCGTCGATATACACAATGAAGGCGGGTAACAGCGAGACACCCTATCCATGAAGCGTTGGTACGTTTGAGTAACCTTGCATAGGCTGAACGGAAGGGTATTATGGTACCATTCAATAGGCTGGCGCTGCCGCCGCTGCAACGGCAGCGCCATCACAACTACAGTCAGCGTCACTGCAAATGCGTCTTTCTCCGGCATCGCTAGATGCCACCATACTTCGTGCAGTGCATGATTTCATTACGATTATCTTGATCATGCCAATTTCGCCAGCTGAACATGCAGTTATTTGCCACCGTCTAATTTACTTCTTTACGCAGTCAGAAATACTTGCGTAATTTCAAGCCTTTCATTTGTTGAATTGTTTCCTGATGTCTTGCATGTTTTCTCACAACGGCAGCACGCCAGCTCTGCCCTCTTCCGCTGGCTCTCCCACCTCAGCGCGCCTGCACGACAGTCAAGCGATTCGCCGTGCCGCCGTGAAAGCGAATATATCCCTGTTTAAAGTGCTTTGTCGAGTGTCAGTGCCCCACGCACTACAATGGTGAACCTGACGTGATGGAGCGGGCGGGCCGTTTACGTGACCTCGGCCCGCCCGCCGTCGTACTCCTCGTCGAGCTTGCCCTCCTCGTAGGCGAAGGCCCCTGCTACTGCTGGTATTCGGACACCAGGCCGTTCATGTTGCTCTCCGCCTCGGTGAACTCCCCCTTACCCATGCTCTCGTCGGTACACCAGTGGAGGAAAGCCTTGCGTCGGAACATGACCGTGAACTGCCTCGAGATCCGCTTGAACAGCTCCTGGATGGCGGTGCCGTTACCGATAAGGGTGGCTGACATCTTAAGACTGCGGGATGGGATGTCACACATGGCAGTCTTGACGTTGTTCGGGATCCATTCCACGAAGTAGCTGCTGTCCTTGTTCTGAGCAATGGGCATCTCTTCATCGACGTCATCCATGGACATTCATGGATGGACGATGGACTTCATGAATTCGTGGACCTTCATGGATACCTCGCGTCCGAGGAATCCGAGGCGCTCGAGGACGCACTTCGGTTTGTTGACCACCATGCCATAGTCCCGTAGACGTTGCAGAACCTGGCGCAGGTGGGTGACGGTGTCTTCATGGGTCACGTTGGTGATGAATATGCCGTCGATATACACAATGAAGGCGGGTAACAGCGAGACACCCTATCCATGAAGCGTTGGTACGTTTGAGTACCTTGCATAGGTCGAATGGAAGGGTATTATGGTGTCATCCAATAGGCTGGCGCTGCCACCGCTGCAACGGCAGCGCCATCACAACTACAGTCAGCGTCACTGCAAATGCGTCTTCCTCCGGCATCGCAAGATGCCACAATGCTTCGTGCAGTGCATGATTCTATTACGATTATCTTGATCATGCCAATTTCGCCAGCTCCCCCTCCCCCTCCGTGAAGTGCCACCTTTCCGTGGTGGCGGGGATTGCGTGCCCCAATGATCCTGCGGGCGGTTGGGGAGGCTTGTAAAGCGCCCCTTCCGGCCAAAAAGGAGGGGCCAGACGAAACGTGCCTCCCGCAAGGGCTCTGACTCATTCAGAGTAGGGATTAGCAGCCCCTCGGCCCCAGCTTTTCATTCTTATCTGGGTCTCACCGTACCCCGTTGGATCCGCAGGTAGCGATGGAGGGAACCTGGTCACTGAGGGAGTTGCCCTGCGGGTCGGTCGGGGAAGCTTTCCAACATGTGGCTTTGGCCCGAATTTGTGATCCTGCGGATGCCTTGTGAAGTCTCCACACGAGGAAATCGGCTGGTCAGGCGTCGTGTTTTCGTGACACTGGCTTGGACGCAAGCAGGCCATGCGACGGGTGTTGAGGGGGGAGCCGCCGGGTGCAGATTTCGTCAATGTATCTCTGCCGGCATACCCATATATCTCTGCCGGCATACCCATATATCTCTACCGTCCAGCACTTCTTCAGCGATAGGTCTTTCTATCTGCTCATCGTCCCTTTTCTGTCGGTTGTCTTGGTTCGTTGAGAGCACTACATGTGGGAGCGACCGTTTCCCAATATGGCTTGGGATGAATGCTGGACACCCAGGCAGGAGGCCTTCCTGCTGGAACCTTCGTCGTGCTAACTGGCAAAGGTTTACTGACGAGTGCCATATTAGAGTGCAGCCGACCGAGGACGACAATGCAGCGTCTCTTACACAACAACTGACATCCACAATTTTTGAAACTGCAAGGTCTTGCATTTCCTTGACATCACCTGAGCCGCGCAGGATCCCTGTGCCCTGGTGGTCAGAGGACTGCAAGGCGGCAATTCTTAAGCGGAAGAGGACGTTCAAGGTTTTTAAGCGTTCTTCAACGACCAACAACCTCATCGCTTTTAAAAAGGCCAGAGCATTGGCGAAACGCACAATACGCGAGGCAAAGCGTGCATCATAGAGGGAATATGTAAATGGTTTAAATCGCCACACCCCACTGAGTGCAGTGTGGCAGCGAGTTAGTCGCATTTCCGGTAGAAGCGTCTCCACTGCAGTTCCGGTGTTGAAAGTGGCGGGAATCACGATGTTGAACACACAGGAAGTTTTCAACAAAATGGGTCTCGCATTTGCAGAAAGGTGCCGACATGGAACATTCGACCCACGCTTTATTCGTTACAAGGAACAAAGAGGGAAGACGGTAATCAATTTTAGAATTCCTGACTCGGAGAGCTATGAGTACAACCAACCATTCACTGTCGTGGAGCTCTGCACTGCTCTTAAGAGAGCTAAGAGTGTGTCGCCTGGAATTCATGAAGTCCACAATGATATGTTAAATCACCTAAATGAGGAGTCCCTCCATGCCTTACTCGAACTTTTCAACGACCTATGGTCGCAAGATGACTTCCCGGAGTCGTGGTGGGAGGCCATTATAGTCCCGATACAGAAGCCCGGAAAGGATGGTTCCGACCCACTGCACTACCGCCCAATTTCACTGACTTCAGCCCTATGCAAAGTGCTAGAGAAGACGGTGAATGATCGTCTCATGTGGTATCTTGAAACTCACGGCTGTCTCTCCAAAGTGCAGTGTGGGTTTCTGAAGAACCGATGCACTGTTGACCACTTAACGATCTTAACGATTAGTGTCTCAAGCGCATGAACCTCATGAAAGTAATGTGTCGTATGACCTTTGGAGCCGATAGAGGCACCCTGTTGAAGTTGTATAAGACCCTAATTTGATCAGTCATCGATTTTGCTAGCCCTGTCTACGACAGTGCTCCTACATCTTCGAAGCAGGTTTTGGACACGATCCACCACACATGTGTTCTTATAGCCACTTGGGCGTCTCGCACGACCCGAACAAGAAACTTGCTTGTGGAAGGGAATGAACAGCCCTTGCCTCTTAGGAGACAACGACTTACTTTGAATTATGCTACAAAGGTTACACAATTTCCGGATCACCCAGCCTTCAAGTTCATCTTCTCTCAGACGTTAATCCGTTCTTTCTTGAGGGGGCGGCCCACGTCAGCGTGGCCGATGTGTTTGCGCGTCCGGGCCTGGCTGGACGAGGCGGATATTACGCTGGATGACTTACCCCGCACACTCTTCGGGACCCAGCTCCGTGGAGACGTCTGAGTCTGAAGTATGATTTGGAACTTTGTCAGCATCATAAAAATGGCACTTCACCACGAGAGTTCCTCAGCTATTCGTTGGAACGGATCTCACAATGCGCGAACTCATTACAGATATATACTGATGGGTCCAAGGGCTCAACAGGAACGGGTTGCGCAATTGTTTGCGGTGACCATACCGTAGGTCTATGCCTCCCGCAGCATATGTCAGTTTTTCCCTCAGAACTGTTTGCTATTCTAGCAGCGCTGCAGTACGTTGCTTGTCGCACTGGAAGGGATGTAGTCATTTTGACCGACTCACTTAGTGCACTTTTATCATTAGACCCGACGGCGATGTCGCGTGACCACTCATTTTTGACGCGCTCAATTTGTGGGGAACTGGAATGGCTGGACACCACTTCCTGCCGTATCACATTTATGTGGATCCCCAGCCACATAGGGATGATGGGAAATGAGAAAGGAGATGCCGCAGCGAAAGCTGCGGCGTGTGAGAGAAAACCAATACCAGTTTATGTACCCGCTCGAGATATGAAGTCAGTCATTTCCAAATACGTTCGCAATACGTGGCAGCACATGTTCGACCAACATCTTCACGCTTTCAGGGAAATCAAGCCCCAACTGGGTGATTGGGAATCCTCCCATCGCCGAAGCTGCTTCCAGGAAGTCGCCCTTTGTAGGCTTCGGTTGGGTCATACATATGCAACACACTCGTTTTACTTGACGCGTAGGGATGTGCCACGGTGTGGTAAATGCGGGGACCGGTTGTCTGTAGAACATGTCATCGTCTCATGCCGAGGCCTTGAGACGGAGAGGCGACGATTTTTTCCTCCAGCGTCCCTTCATCGGTTACTCGGTCGAGACCCATGTGGTGATCTTGGAGATATACTCGCATTTTTAGCACACGTTGACTTTGACATTATTTTCACTCATCCCTCAGTGTAAGTGCGCCAGTGATACTGCCTGTTATTAGTTAACAGCATATTTATCGCGTCGTCGCAGAGGTAGATAACCGTCATTGAGTGGGCGCAAAATGGCCCCGATGCCGACGCGCCCTTAAAAACCAAATCACCACCACCACAATTTCGCCAGCTGTACCTGCAGTTGTTTGTCACCGTCTAATTTACTTCTTTACACTGTCAGAAATACTTGCCTAATTTCAAGCTTTTCATTTATTGAATTGTTTGCTGATGTCTTGCATGTTTTCTCCCAACGGCAGCACGCCAGCTCTGCCCTCT